TAACTTGCCGTTTTTCTCTTGCTAATCTTAGTATCTTGCCTTTGTCTGTGGTTTTGGTCAGTCTGGCTATAATGTGTCTTGGAGAAGATCTTCTTGGGTTGATTCTATTTGGGGTCCTTTGTATTTCTTGGGACTGGATCTTTGAGTGCCTCTCTAGGTTTGGAAAGTTTTCTTGCAGGATTTCATGGAATAGATTATCAATGCCCTTATGAGTCTCTTCTCCTTCTGGGATACCAGTTATCCAGATGTTTGGATGTTTGATGGTATCTAGTATTTCTTATATATTATTCTCATTTTGGGGGGCAATTTTCTCAGTCTTCGTGGTGGATTTTTCTAGATCAGCAATTTTCTCTTCTACGTCTGAGATTCTATTTTCTGAATGATCTAGTCTGCTTTTAATACTTTCAAGGGAGATTTTGACTTCCTGTATTATAGCCTTCATCTCTAACAGGTAGGTCCCTTTGATTCTTTTTTAAAGTACGTAATTCCTCTTTTAGATCTTGCAAGAATTTCCTCACCTCCTGGAACTCATCATCTCCTTTCTCCTTTCTCTTCTGCGGTTCATTGTCTCTCTTCTCTTCCATCTCTGTTAGCTTTGCTGTTATGAATGTTCTAAATTCTTTATCAGACATTTCCATGATTTCCATTGAACTGTCTGTGGATGAAGAGGAGTTATTCTTTTCTCTTGGAGGAGAGGTATTTTCTTGCTTTCCCATATTTCTTGTGGCCCTGTGGTGATTTCTGTCATCTGATGGATGGTGTGTTTCTTCCCAGTTTTGAAGTTCAATCCAGTGTTCAGGAGCATGCAGAATGATATGATCTGGAATCTCTTTTCTGATCCCTTTTGATCCCACTCGAGTTTGTGGGTTGGAGGCTGAATTATCAGTAGAATCTCTTCATTTCTTATTTCCCTGTTATCACTAGTTCTCAGGAGCCATAAAGGTAACTGTATTTTTTTTTTTTTTTTTTTTAAATAAAAGGATGGGAGTCAGCAGGTGACATGGTGGTTAAGGGCACTGGACTCCCATAAGGCCAACTGCATTTTGAGTCCTGGACCTGGCTGCTTTCTTTCTTTCTCTCTCTTACTTTGGTCAAATTAAAATAAATAAATTAATTAAACAAATAAATAAAATCAAGTCATTCTTTTAAAAGAAATTTTTATATGTATTTATTTTTAATTCCATTTGTTATTATTATTTTAAATTTGACCAGAGAGAGAAGGGAGAGAGAGAAAGGGAAGTGAGAAAGCAAGCCACAAGGTCCGGAACTTGAACTGTGGTTGTCCATGTCGGAATCTAGCATCTTTAGCCACCACATCACCTGCCAGCCCCAAGTGAAATAATTCTTTAAAAATATAAAGGGGGCCAGCAGATGACGTGGTAGTTAAGGAGGCTGGACTGCCACATGGCTGACCATGATTTGAGTCCTGGATGTGGCCGCTTGCTTTCTCACTTTCCTTCTCTCTCTCTCTTTCTCTTTGTTCAACTTCAAAAAAATAAAATAAAATAATGACAATGAATAAAATTAAATAAAGAAAGAAAAGGATGAATATATTATTAGTATAAATATTAACAAGATTTGCTCTGTGAGCCATTTTCAAAGTGGAAAAATACATATTTTATAGCCTCTTCTACTTAACTATTCAAGGAAAATATTTTCACATGTAAATTAAGTATTTTTCTACAAAATGACTTTCCATGGCTGTTTTTTTTTTTTTTTGGAGAGGGTTTCGCTAAAGGACCACGTGCGCTCGCCAGGCAGAGAGAGACATAGAGACAGAAAGCGAGAAATCACCCCCCAAGGGGGATGGTCACACCA